CCTTTCCCCTTTTCTTCCTCTTGTAAGGTGATGGGAATTTTTCAGTCGTGGCAAAAGTAAACGTCTAACCATCGTAGCTCTAGCCCTGCGGCCCTAAATCCTCGGGCTCACTTTGAGAATCCCTGATGGAGACGGGTCTAGATTGATATATTTGTTTCGCTTTAACTCGAGTCTGAGTGGTATTCAAAGCACTTCCCGTATACCGCTTCTTTCTGTCCAATTGAGGCGACCACAGCGTGGGCCGGTACCATAGAAACAGACGCACTGGCGAATTATAAACAATGCCGTAAATAGAAACGGAAAGGGCGTAAACAGGAGGACGGTAGCCACACTTTAAGATGGAAAATTAAGACCTCTGTCTCACAAAAGAGCCACAGTTGCTTCTTGGAGTGTCGTTGTGTAACTCAACATTCTATAGGAGTCACGTGGCGTGGTACCGCTGTATAAGGGTGTTAGGGCGTTTGTTTTTGGGCAACGTGATTTATGAGTACGTGACAGGGGTCAAACCCTAACTGGGGGGGGGGGAGGGGGGGGGCTGACATATGTTGTGGGGAGTTGGATATATGTTTTGGGGTTGTGGAATATGTGATGGGGGTTAAACAGCAACCTATTTTAAAAATAAAACATCAATGTATAGAAAATATTACACACAGAAAACATCAACACACAGGACGAATTACAGACACAAACATTAACACACATGGCATATGACACACATACAACATCAACACATGGGATATTTTTGCACAAATAAAACATCGACACAGCGGACATAATTACCCGCATAAAACATCAACAAATAGGGCATATAACACACAGAAAACACTAGCTTAAGGACATATTAAACAAACAGAACAGACGACAGAGGATAACTGACGCCAAAGACAACAAAGGAGACACGAATACACAAAATGACTTTGTGTAATTTAATTTCCCAAAAGAAAGATGGCTGACAATGGTGCTCGTGTGAGGTGAGATATTACATCAACATTAAAAAAAAAAAAAAAACCACAACACAGAATCAAAATAGGTATTTTACTGAGAAACTTCTCCGCCATCGCCTTACAATGAAAAAGGCTGTCGACTCATTGTTTTGTGGTTTACAGCTAAGGTGCGATGACTGACTGACTGACTGAAGTTTTATCCCACCAGTGCATCACACCGAGCGATAAAACACCCGGTGAAACAAAGTGCCATGATTCGGATGAAGATCTCCCGGGGACAGGTTCCAGAAATCCTGTTCAATCCGTAGGGTTATAATTAGGGTCCCACCAACAATTGCGTAACACATGAGGACCAAAAGAGACCCAAAAGTTGCCATATCTTTGCCTTTTAGTCCACACATTGATTCTGTCCACCAACTCCAATGCGGTCCCAAGACCCACATGGGGAATAAATAGCAAAGGAACTCGCGAGGCCACTAGAGCAACGTGATAAATACACTATAATGTACTGATTTGCACTCATAGATGCAAAAGAATCGTTATCGGGAGGTGATAATTTCGATTTTCGGGGTGGTAACTGTAGCTGTTAATTTTATTTTATGTTGTTTACTCCTGTCTCTTCTACTTCCTTCTGCGTGAAACGATTGTGTACCTCATGCAGTCATGCCTGGCCACCTGATGGCTTATCGCGACTGCTGCTTCCATTAAATATAAATAGCAACTCTAGTGACGGTATGTACTGGTCCCTGTGGCAACTGACTTCCGCATTTGAGGTGAGTGCAAGCTCTGGGATTTTACCGGAAGTGCTTTCTATCTGACTTTTTATATGGGGCATTTGAAGGTTGGGGGGGGGGGGCGGGAGGGAGGGTGGGGGCATTTGTATCTCATCCAGTCTGGTGTTCAGTAAAACCTAAGGTAAGGGACTCTTTTCACGCCTTCAGGGGTACAAGAGATATAGCACAAGGCCGATATTTTAGAGACCAAACGGCATTTGGTGGGCGATGCGGTCCGCACCACGCCGGCTGCCTTTACTTTCCAGGATTCTATATGAAGGCTGGGTCAAACTTGGGAGCCAAGGTTTTTTTGTTTTTTTTTAAAGTCAGGCTCCGACAGGACCCAAAACCCACGACCTTCCGATCTGACGGCTCTCATAATAATACTGTTAATAATAATAATCACAGCAACAACAATAGGGTCAGAACTAGTAACAACATGTGTTCTGTGCAATATTCACTAATCGAGTACCACTGTTTGACTAACAAGCGGAAACTTTCATAATTTCAGTTCAGGGCTCAGTTTAAACCAAATTAAGTACCTGAAAATCCCCTTCAAACGGAAAATGTGAATATGTTAAATATTGTTCTTACACCAACGACGGACACAGCGTACCGCGGCTCCAACTTAGCTACAGGCCGTGTAGAAGTAGACCGGTTTATGTTGATAAGGACAACATTTACGTGTCTTCTTCGTCTTCTTTCTGTTTCTTTTTCGTCTTCTTATTCTTTCTGTTTCAGCTTGTTCTTCTTCTTTTTCTACTTTTCCTTTTCGTACTTTCTCTTTTTCTTCTCTTTTTCTCCCCCTTTCCTCCTCTTCTTCTTTACATTCACTGGCTCTGTAAACTACGGTGGAAAGATCTGGATGTATTTGCACTCCTCGAATGTAGTCTTTTCCAGAACTGGAGAAACTTGCATGAATATCTATTTTCACATGTCTTGCTTATTTGTAAGTTATTTCTGTTGGTGAATGGTCTCTTAGACGGATGCATTCCAAACAATTAGTTGACCAGGGGTGCTTCTGTCGTGACCTTCAGTGAGTAACTGCAACAATTCGGAAAGTCAAAGCTATTTAAAAAGCCACTCTTCTTCAAAGCCATTCAATGTGGCCTTGGTAGTCATGTCTATCCATAACCTTCTGTCTTGTGTACTTTTACTCAACGCTGATACAGATGATCCTCTGTTTCATAACGTCAAACTGTCCAGCATCTTTTCTCTCGGTCTTCCTCTGCCTCTCCTACCCTCCAACTTTCATACCGTCAAGATGTATTCCAGTTTGTCTTCTTCTCATCACATGGCCATGATTACCATATTATGAACAGACCAGAGCAAGTTATTATCCTTCGCCTTAGAACAGGGCACAATCGACTTCGCTCCCACATGTACAACAAATTTAAGATTGGCCAATCGGCCATGTGTACTTGTGGACTGGCACCTGAAACAACAGATCACATCCTTCAAGACTGTCCCAGATTCAACGCTTTCAGGCAAAACCTTTGGCCAAAAGAGACACTTGTGGAAGTCAAACTTTACGGGCCGCTTAGTGAATTACAAAAGACAGTGAAATTCATACTAGAGACAGCACTGCAGATATAGATAATTTATTTCATGCGAACGAAAGAAGAAGAGAAGATCACATGACCAAAGAATGTAGATTGTCTCATTCTGATGTGGGCAATCGGTTCTTTGTTGAGTCAGTTTCTCTCAAAACATCTTCATTACTATTTTCATCTGTCCAGGATATTCCCATCATCCGTCTATAAAACCACATCTCTGCAGCTTCCAAATGATTGTTGACTAATTTACCAAGTGCCGATGATTCACTTCCCAATATCAAGAAGGGATTTGTATAGCTTTTAAGAATTCTCTTTCTCGAAAGTCGAAACAGCATCCAATATACGCTGGGCTTTTGTTTGAGTCAATGACGCTGCGGGAAGGTACGAGGGGATCTGGCCGACGCTCAACACTCCAGGGAAAGGTGAGACGGGTGTATAATCAGATACATACTGGCACCATCGGAATCGAAACTCTTCCTTCGCTGCTGAAGACGTTGACAGAGCACTTATTGGAGTGTCCCGAGTGCTACGATGCTGATTCTTAATTCAGCATATTTTGTTGGAGTCGTCCCGATAAAAAATCATGCAGCTAGCCTTTTAAATGGTACATCATTTCTCTCTGTGGTTGACTGTTCTGGGAAAAAAGTAAGTTCTTTGGAACTGAACAGTACAGACCGCTTAAGTTGATTTCTGATGTTGCGAATTTCTGTTGCGAAGATAAATGTGTTCATCCCCGACAATGTTTCAAGCTTAGAACTCCTCACTCGATAAAAGGAATTTCTGATAAGGAGAAATATTCCTTCGCTCCCCGGCGATCTTCTTATCAGGTGTGCACTGCATATCCGACAGGTGCAAGTGAAAGAACACAAACCATGATATATTCAATCTTAGGAGTCACGGCGCATGGCGATGGCTGGGTGCGACTGGCAAGACCCATTTACAATAAGCAAAGTCTTCCACAATGGGCGCATGGGATTCCAGGACAACTGTTCGTCACCTGTTATAATGAAATACAGTGCAATGTGCTTCAGTACGTTTCTAAACTCATGCCCTCACACTTTAACAAATATCTGGAAAACTCCTCGACGGATTAACAGGATTTCTTCGATGTAGTTTTATATTTTTCATGCCCTTATTATTCTATAATTTAGAACAGCACAGATGCTGCTAGATTTACTTGAGCGGCGAATTTCTTTGAACTTAAACTAACAATTCATGTACCTCCAAAAAAAAAAAAAAACATACAACATTTGGCACACGTGTGGAGATCGTTTGGACATCAGATCAACATGCACAGCGATTGCCTTGTGATTTGTTTTTATAGTCTATTCCTCAATGAAAAATCAGCAATTCATGGCAGCCTTATGCTACAGATGACCACCTGAGAGTAAAACGTATATGACACGCATGCAATTTGATATTTTGAAAAGTTCCCCTTACTTAATTTATTCAAGTCACTGTAAGCATGCCGACTATTTGCTTTGAATATGTTTCCGTTTTTTTAATGTACCGCAAATAAGGCAAAATTAACATTTGATATTTGTTTACATTAAACAAAATTTTGTCTTACAATGACATGATTATTAACAGGCTGTAGGCCACATTTCAACAACGTACACCGAATGGTTACTGGGTTGCTGAGCTTTGAGTTTTAAATCTGGGCTCAACTTCTGGAACAGACTATCGACGTTACACCATACTTTATCTAATCATCTCCCTGGCTGGTGTCAACATTTGGTCGTAGACTCGCACCAGCGTACGGTAGGTTTCAGAAGAATATATTCATTCTCAACACAATCAGAGCCGGCACGGCCTCGCTCCGCGTGCAAGATTTGTTTATGCTTCTTGCTGTTATTGTAAACTTTATGGGATATCCAGCTGCGAAGAATACTTTTCCTCTGTTGTGCTTTGTTCCCGCAGTGTTTCTGGGTGAGGTACCCAGGCTGAATGTATTCTGTATCATTTCGTGGATGATTTTGACAAGGATCTGAGCAAGTGTTTTTTACTATTTCATATTCTTTGAGCATATTCCTCCGGCAAGAAGATTCTTCACTGCCATATTTCATATTCAGAATCTGACTGCTGTTACCAGCGGCTACTTCGGGTGTGCTTCTTATTGAGTTGACATTCCCAGTTGTGAAGCCGACATTGGTTTTGACCCCCGATTGCGGCTGCCCATCCAACATCACATCGTTGTTCACCATTTTATCGGCGTCTTCACTGCTGACGCAGCTGCTGCGCCTCCGAGCGTTGAGTTTGGCCAGGGTCATCTCGCTGCACCACGACTGCGACGTCTTCCGCACGGAGTAAGAAGTAATCGTCTGCTCGGCTGGAGTCTGGCGGTGGCCGTGGCGACGAAGGCACCGTAGAAGGTCCAGGACCTGCTGCCGAAACTTGTTGCCCGTGGCGCAGTAGAGGAAGAAGTTGATGGAGTGGTTGGTGTACATGAGCAGTTCCGCGATGGTCATGAGCAGCTTGAACTTGGCCATGCCGTGCACTGCCAGCTTTCTCTCCTGGAATGTCATCTGTGGAGTAAGTAACCATCGTTTAAATACAGGACTGTTGCCAGAGAAGGATAACACACACACTGTGCAATATTTGACCGGTCAAGTGTGAATCGGGTGGGACTGACACTGTCTGACAGACAGAGAAATAAATAGTCAGATATACAGAAAGTCGGTCATATAGACAGGTAGGTACACATAAATATTTACCGTTCAGTCAGGTGGGCAGACAGATTTCTGGGACAGATAGGCGGATTAACAGTTCGAAAGACAAACAGTCAGATAAGCAGACAGACAGGTATATAGCCAGGCATGTGACAAACAAGCAGACAGACAAATAGGTTGTCCGGCTAAAACAAGTTACGACAGCACTCAAAACATTCTCATCAGCGCTCTGTCTCCATCTCCAGTTGCTAGCATCAAGAGCTGCAACTGCGGTGCTACTGGAACCAGTCTGATTGTCTACCCGTACTGGCTTTTGCCTTAGAGCACGGTTGAACTGAAACCCCAGTCACTTCCAGCAACACCTTTATCTCCAAGTCGTAATGATCTATTGATGTTTCTGATGTCTGACACTGAACAGTTACTCACACATTTGGCTTGTCATCTAACAGTTAGAAAGGGAGCAGACCAAACAACACACAGAGAGGCAGCAGTCAGGTAGAACACAGACCGATAAGCAGATACACAGACATATAGATTAGGTGGACAGACAGACAGACAGACAGACAGACAGACAGACAGACAGACAGACAGACAGACAGACAGACAGACAGACAGACAGACAGACAGACAGACAGACAGACAGACATTGCATACATTGCCTACATTGCCTACATTGCCTACATTGCCTACATTGCCTACATTGCATACATTGCCTACATTGCCTACATTGCCTACATTGCATACATTGCAGAGACACACACAGACACACACAGACACACACAGACACACACAAACACACAGACACATACAGACAAACAGACAGACAGACACACACACACACACACAGACACACACACACACACACAAACACACACGCAAGCACGCACGCACGCACGCACGCACGCACGCACGCACGCAGGCAGGCAGGCAGGCAGGCAGGCAGGCAGGCAGGCACAGGCACGCACGCACGCACGCACGCACGCACGCACGCACGCACGCACGCACGCACGCACGCACGCACATACATACATACATACATACATACATACATACATACATACATACATACATACATACATACATACATACATACATACATACATACATACATACATACATACATACATACATACATACATACATACATACATACATATATAGATATACATACAGACAGGTCCCATACATACATACATACATACATACATACATACATACATACATACATACATACATACATACATACATACATACATACATACATACATACATACATACATACATACATACATACATACATACATACATACATACATACATACATACATACATACATACATACATACTTACATACTTACTTACATACATACATACAGACATAATACATAAGGCATTCTAATATAAGTGAATTTTTTTTTAAATATCCAGAAACCATGACTTGTTAACCCTTTGGCTCGGTATTATGGATATAGCAACCTTTCGGCCTTGATTCCATGACAGGTCCCGTAAATTTGGAGATATGTGACTTTTCTGCCTAACCCCGGACGTAAACTCGCACCACAAGGAGTTCGTCCCCTGGTCGAAGCGCAGTCACATTTAACCAACTGAGCTAGCGAGCCGGAAATACACGTACATACATACGCACATCCATATATACGTACGTACATGTACATACACGCATGAACACACACACTCACACATGCGTGCATTCACACATTCATACCAATATATACAAAAACGACCATCCAGACACATACACGCATGCCTATCCACATTTACACATACCCATACTTACACTCTCACAAATTCATACATTGATACACGCACGCACACGAATACATATACCTACATTTATACACTTCATAAACACAAAAACAGGCAGACACAAACACATAAAACAGGCATAGATAGATGGATAAGATAAGATAAGATAAGATAAGATGAGATAAGATGAGATAAGATGAGATAAGATGAGATAAGATGAGATAAGATGAGATAAGATGAGATGAGATGAGATGAGATGAGATAAGATGAGATAAGATGAGATGAGATGAGAAGAGAAGAGAAGAGAAGAGAAGAGAAGAGAAGAGAAGAGAAGAGAAGAGAAGAGAAGATTAGATTAGATATAGATAGATAGATAGATAGATAGATAGATAGATAGATAGATAGATAGATAGATAGATAGATAGATAGATAGATAGATAGATAGATAGATAGATAGATAGATAGATAGATAGATCTGACACCCTGGGGTGAATGGAGGAACGTCGCTGTAGCTACGGAGTTACCCGGGAACAGCGACACAGGTGGATAATTTCTATTTAGGTGTCCGTAGTTTTGGCAAAGCACTTATGGTTTATAACCGTGTGCAATGACGCTGGTTCACATCTCCCAACTTTACCTTTACCTTAATAGGTTTGGATGGGCGGCTGATGGACAGACAGATACATGGATAAACTGGATGCAATAACATGCATACGGATGGATATATGGACGGACAAATAAAAATACTGTCAGGCTGACGTACGGAGAGGCATACTAATGAACACACATAGAAAAGGGCCTGAAATGTTAAAGGGTAAGTATATTTGATTAGTAATAAGAGGAACTGAGTGAAATAAAATGTTAAAGGGTTAGTATTTTCGATTAGTAATTAGAAGAACGGAATGAAATGTTACTCACGCTTTGTTTGAAAGACGTGAATTTCGCGCATGTCAAAGATGCTCTATCTTCATTGTCACCTGTCAATGCCTGTTGGAAATGGGTATTAAACGCGGAGAAGCCAGCAGAGAAGCGGCTGCGGGGGCACAGAAAGGAGACATGGCAATCAACTCCCACTGGTACGGCGAGCCAGAAGACACCGACACGGCCGCTTTATGCATCCGAAGATGGAGAACGGGTGAAATTAACGTTAGTCTCCCCAGACAAAGTAGGTCACGTTTCATTCATAAGTTTTTTGGGTTTGTTTACTTTACTGCAGGTTACGGGTGTGCCTCTCTGTTGTTTGCTTTTTGGGTTGTCTAGCATTTAGGTTTTTTTTTTTTTTTTTCAGAGAAAGGGAATGCATGTGAGATAGGTTGCAACACTCTATAGTGGGGTTGTGTTAGAGCCAGTTTGTCCACGTTTTTGGAATGGTAAAAGCGCTTTCGTACTGAAATATACAACACGCGATATCAACGGCATTGCGGAACACCCCTGTGACCGTGGCTCAAAGTCTACAAATTAGATGTAAGCTAGCGTGTAACACTGTGTAAATGGAGAGACCAACGTTAGTTTTACCTGGAGCACGACTAAGTCATAGCGTGACCTAATTTAGTACTAAAGTAGGTCACGGGGTCGGACACATTTGCTAGGATTGTTGTTACCGACCACCAGTCACCATCTAGTGCTAGATCCCACGCGATTCACTTTCCTCCCAATGTCAAGGATGCTGAGATTGCTCATATAATTTTTTTAAACTTTTGGAGTACCAAGAAAATAGCCCAAAACTTTTCTTGGTGGTTCCACTGATGATACTTTTGTTGTCTTCTATTGCAGACATTCTGTCAACTCCTGGTATCTGAATTATTAGTTTATTTATTTCGATTTCAACGTTTCTCTCATCGAGACCTAAGAATGAATTAATTTTAGACTCAACTCCTTGGGAAATAAGGAGTTGAAGTAGCAACAGCTTGAGACTATGAGAGAAAAGATTAATATTCTCTGATATTCTTCTTGGGATTGAAAAAGTGGATTTTCTCTCATATTCTTTTTGGGATTGAAAGAGTGGATTTTCTCCGATAATCTTCTTGGGTTGAAAGAGTGAAATTTTTTTTTTTTTTGTTGTATTAATCTTCTTTAGGTTGAAAGAGTATATTTTTTGTAATAATCTTTTTTGCTATTGAAAGATTGGATTTTCTGTAAAAATCTTCTTTCGGTTAAAAGAGTTGATATTCTCTGTAATAATCTTCTTGGGGTTGAAAGAATGAATTTTGTCTAGTGATCTTCAGCGTAAATACCAGTGAGAAATCGTTCTTCAAGGTTTCAATGATCAGACGAAAAGTGCCGAAGGCGGTCACGTTTGTCGATTATATTAATATACCGCTCAAGCTACTGCTGATTCAATACAATATTTCTTGGTTGTTTTTTATGAGTGTCGATATCGCGTGATGTGGATGTTGTGGTAAACATCACGCCAGCCGCCTTTACTTCCCAGAACCACTCAAGGGCTATGTCAACAGGGAATCCAAAGTAATTTTTGAAAAAAAAAAAAAAAAACCGGTTCTGTCCGGACTCGAACTGACGACCTTCCCATCCGCAGTCGAGTGTCTAGTGGGTGCAATACAGCTGCTCCCAGCTGGAGATAGATCGCCACCAGATTTCGATGTGGTCAGCTGATCAAAAACACGCCGTCTCCGCAATGAAAGCTGGCTGCCGTGTACCTACTGCTATCTGTGAGAATATTATGAGGTGAGGTTCCCCCTCTCGTCCACGATGCGATTTTTTCGAACCACTGCCAGAAGAACGGACCAGCTGTATTGAATAAACCGTACGCAGCAGAAGTCGAAGACTAGTCCGTCGAGTATCGTGAAACTGTGAAACGCACTGACTAACCCTGATGCCAAGCAGCCGCGGACAACCGATAGAAAATGGCGAATACCATATGCCAACAGCTCTCTGATGATACTTTCTTCTTCTGTTTTCTATCCCTCAATAGAGCACAAGAAATGAACCAGCTCACACCATTCGTCGCTATCGCATTCAGCTCACCCAATGGCATCACTATATATTTAACTTCACTCTCTAAATCCCTTCTCCACGCACGTCTCGAGGCATGGTATCCACCTCGAGTGCTAGAGGTTCAGGGTTCAATCTTT